TGTATTTTGTTTATCAGCTCTACGTCACATTCGATGCTAAAAATTCAATGTACTTCAATTACGATTGTTAACGGATTGGATTTTGATCAGAATCCGATCTGAATCCGATGAAATTAATGAAAGATGAATTTAGAGTGTCAATCCGATAACCAATCGAGATTCGAATCCGATAATCCATTAATTAAATGAATCAATGGATTGGATTTTTTCAATTTCGGATCGGATATCTAATAATACAGTTAATCAAATATGGATTTAATATTCAAATATTCGTTGGATTATCGAATCGGATCGAATAGGATAATTATTCTTAACGGATATGATCGGATTTGAGCAAATCCGATCCATAAATCTAATTCATTTAGAGCTATAAATTCAATGTGAAGATTCTACATCGCCCCGAGTCGATTTTACGGAAGAGGTTAGGCAACGTACTGTCGACGTATGTTCTCTTCTTTGCCTCGATATGTACGGAGAAACAATGTGTTGTGACAGTAATCTAGTTCTCTTACTAACCATTTGCTCTGACACTTCAATAACATGTTTCTTGCAAGGTGTCACTTCCATTGTCCTCTCCGGTATAATTGTCACGTCATTCAAACTTACGACATTATTTGTCAAGTTAGGGGTCCTCTCTGGCATAATTATGTATATTATATATTTAATATTTAACTACTTTGTTTAATTATTTATTTAATCACTTAATTAAATAAAAAATTAATATTTAATTTAATTTCTTATTTAGATATTTCATTTATAAATTATCTTAATTGGTTGTGTATATTATGTATTTAATATTTCATTACCTTATTTAAATAAATTTTACAATATATACAATTATTTCATAAATAAATAAAAAATATACAATCATTTCATAAATACAATTATTACAATTATTTCGTCCACTTCACCGACACCTCTCCCAACCACACTGACATCCATAACAACTCTAATGAAACATTTGTGTACATCACCACCCCTCCACCGCTAGCCTCCCTATCACCATCTCCGCCATCCTCTTTGTCATTGTCTGGGACCCTCATCACCTACTGGTTGTATCTTCTCAAAAATGACTCCGACCTTCCTCCTCGATCAACGATGTTAGCTTAGCGAGCACTTCAAGCTCACATATTAACATTTCACCAAGTTAATGATCGTGCATCGAGATTTCGAAATGACGTACAACATAAATTATAAATGAATAATATGTACTTCAAGATCGTCGAGAAGAGCTGATAGTCAGCTCTATCCTTATGGATAGTTGTTGAATGTTAACGTCATCAACAACCTCCAAATGAAAGACGTTGGTCGACATCTTCTTGTGATGACACCTCAATATGCTCTCCAGTATAAACATTATCCCAAACTTCAACTTGTCAAACATATCGTCGCATTCATTGAATGCATCTCCTAACCGTGCCAAAGTTACCGTCATAAGCAGGATCAGTGTAACAGGTCTGCGCGCTCCTTATCCAAAAAATCTATAACTAATGCGAAACTGACAAAATTATAGTTCGACGTAATTTTGTCGGGAATCTGTCTCATAGCGACGTCCAAATGGTAATTCATCTTGTAAATTTTAAAATATTTGAACTTTGCATAAGAGACAATAA